GAGCGAGGTCGAATGTAAAGTAATTTGAGCGAGGTCGAATGTAAAGTATAAAATGACTTGGTGGGGGCTGTGCGAAGATGTTGCTTCATTTATTTCATTCGATGGAGAATATTACATGTTTCTTCTTGTTTCATTCATACATTGGGGAAGTTCTACCCAGTCCCTTCATCGTTCGGCCTGGAGAAGTAGTCGACAGGCGGGGTGATGAGTTTCACTTGAATTTAGTTCGCTCGATCCGAGCGATACCGGATCTTGTTTTGTGAGTTCGAATGAAGTCGCTTTTGATCTGCAAATTCGAGCGAGGTTAACTTCTGATTTGCCATTTTGGGTGAAATTAGTTTTGACTTATTTCTTGAGCGAGGTCAAATTTTACTTTCGCCTAGCGATGGCCGTAAAGGTGTTAAATCGAGCGAGGTCGACTTGTAACCCATTTAGCGACGGCCGATGGTCGTAAGGGTGTTAATTCGAGCGAGGTCGAATTATAACCCATTTGGCGACAGCCGATGGCCATAAGGGTGTTAATTCGAGCGAGGTCGATTTGTAACCCATTTGGCGACGGTCGTGGTCGTAAGGGTGTTAATTCGAGCGAGGTCGAATTGTAACCCATTTGGCGACGGTCGTGGCCTTAAGGGTGTTAATTCGAGCAAGGCCGAATTGTAACCCATTTGGCGACGGCCAATGGCCGTAAGTGTGTTAATTCGAGCGAGGTCGAATTGTAACCCGTTTGGCGACGGCCGATGACCGTAAGGGTGTTAATTCGAGCTCGAATTGTTACCCATTTTGAGTTCGAGTGTAGTCGAATTTCCCTTTTATTTGGCGATGCTGCGTGTTTGCCTGTTGCATTATTTTTATTAGAGAACATCACTTATTGCTGCATTGTGTATGCGTGCGTTAAGGCGAGTTCTGGTCTGTTTACTTTTGCTTTCGTTGGAGAATACTGTGCGTCGGGTTGAGTCCCGGTTTGTTTAATTTTGATTTATTTAGAGAATACTATGCATCGGGTTGAGTCTCGGTTTGTTTAATTTTGCTTTCATTGGAAAATACTGTGCGTCGTTGCATTATGTATATGTCGGTGGAGTCCCAGTTTACCTAGTCCTTTCTTTGGTTGACTTGGAAAGGTCGTGATCGGGACGAGCGACGAATTTATTGCTTGGGCTTCTGGGTACCCTGGGACTGAACGAAGTTCAGACATGATTTGCGATATTTGGTCGGCTGAATTGGCGTAAGATTGTCATGGCGAATATACATGCAAACTTTTCGAGTTCAAGTTCTACTTGTGTCGGAGGGACGGTACATTCCACATGCTCACTGCTTAGTCCCAGCTCATGGAGATTTTCTTAATAACATCAGCTTTCTTTTCCATCGTTTCTATGTTATTTTCAGTACGGTATGGTGTGGAGGATTTTGCTTGGTGCGTTCAGTGGTGTTTGTTCCTTGTTCGTGTACCTGTGAGAATGCTCGTATTCCTTACCCGTTCCAAAAAGAGAAAAACGACAAGTCAGATTCAAGCAAAATTTCCTGTTACCTTGACCTGGTAAGTCGGCGAGGGAGAAGGGGCGTTATAAGGCGACTCGTTCCGCCCCGTACTCGAATGGCGGTTTCAGATTCGGCAGGCCCATGTTTGGCTTCGCCGTTGATCGCATCTAGGCTTCTTGTGGGCTGAACTTACCTTGCCCGTCGGGATCTCGAGCTTGAGTCCCAGTTCGACCACGTCTGATTTCCGCAGATAATAAAGGAAACGTGATATACCCAGTACATAAATTACAATTGTGCACACGAGTACAAAAATAAAGCGGGGTAAGTCGGTTATTTCAAAGAATCACACGGTAGGCTATCGTCCCTTCCTAAGAGGTTGAAGTATAGATCGGCATATAACGTTAATACGGCGAGCAGGATTGCGGGCGTGCTAAGTGCGTAGTGACCGTAATCCCACCTTGAGTACTCACACGACGTGTCGAATCCATAGCTACAGGCGAGGCGTGGGTTTTGCTTAGACATCGGACCTAGTTTCGATTTCAAGTAGAGATCTGACCCAGATTGGTTTGGTTATCTCAAAAGCTCATCTATCACTTTTCGAGTTGGTGTTTATACTGAGATGGTGAGGCTATGACAGCCGGCAAGTGATACTTTGGCTGGTTTTAGATCTAGAGGAAACTAAAATTTTGTCTAAGAAATTTCCCACAGACGACATAAAATTGTTTGACTAAAAAGTGTTAAACATTTTGTTAAACTAATTAAATAAGGAGATTTTAGGTAAATCCTAGCCAAAGATAATTTACCCTAGATCAAAGATAGAAGATAAGAGTAAGCAAACCTAGCACACATAAGATTTAACTATAATGCTGAATGAATCTCATTATATAAGAAAAGGATGGTGATTTATATAACATTACGCAATGATGAAGAATACATGGGTAAAAGGGTCATCGATTTTTGCAAGGTTGAACCCCATACATTCGATATGATAAGACTAATGATATATGTCGAGGATCCGAGCTTCCTTGCTTCTTTCACCTTCGTGGAGAGAGAGAGAGAGAGAGAGAGAGAGATGAAGATCCCTCCTCTTCTCAGAAAACATCTGTGTCTTGATTTGTTTCAGCCCCTTCTTCTTCTTCTTCTTCTTCTTCTCACTTAGTTTATATACTAGGTCTTCTTCTTTACCCAACGGTCATTAACCATAGTACTTAAGTCGTTTGACTATATTACGGGTCGACCCTTTGAAATGTCGTAACATCCAATTCGCCGCTCAAGCGTTCTGAATACATGACCTCGGCCGTGGCCGGGGTGCATGTTGTTATAGCGTTATATGGATACGACTTTGGCCCAAATAGCTTTTTGCCGTCCCTTTCCACGCAGATTCTTGTCTGGTCAGATTTTGTCCCATACAATTTCGTCCTTCTTCTTATTATGAAAACTATATATGGATGTTCATGGTTCTAATTTTTCTAATTAAATGAAACAAAAGTAATTAAGTTAATTTTAAATATTTAAATCAAACCAAACAAATATATAGACATTTAATGGGTATATTTGATTATCTACGTCCAATTCGAAAGCTGGAGATGTACTTGCTATGCATGGTCATCTATGTTAAATTAAATTATATGTCAATATTGAATTCTAAAACATGAATAAATAAACCCTAATATTGAATTCTAGACCCTATTTGTGGGAATACACTGGTCTGTTATTATTGTTGTTGCATCTGTGATAAAAAAGGTGAACAAAAAAAAAAAGGGATAGCGAGCTCTCTAATTTTCCTTTTAGTAAAGAAGGGAAAAAAGCTTCCTTTTCCTAATATGACGTGGTTTATGTAAAGTTTTCCTTATCTTCTTTTTTCCGTTTAACTTTCCTACTTCAACCAGGAATGTAAAAACTCTATAAAAATAAACCAACCCCTTCAACTTCTTTTCATGCATTGAAATAATTCAAAAGGAAATTCCCCATTCAAAGATTTTTCCACCATTATATCTTCAGAAAAGCTCTTAACTCTAAAGACTAGTGATGGTGCAGAGTTCCAAATAGAAGAGGCAGTGGCTGTGAGGTCACAACTCATCAAAAACATGGCCGAAGCCGAAGGCGCCATTCATATGCCAAATGTTAGAAGCGATACAATGATTAAAGTGATCGAATATTGGAAGAAGCACTCGGAAAAAGGAATATCAGAGGATGAGCTGAACACTTTTGACAAGAATTTCGTGAAGCTGCATCACTTGGAATTGTTTGAACTCGTCGTAGCTGCTGATTTTCTTGCTGATGAGGAGTTGTCGCATGTAACATGCGAAGAAGTTCTGATAGAATCAAAGGAAAAACACCAGCAGAAATATATGATGTATTCAACATCAATAATGATTTTACCCCTAGAGAATGAGGTAAAGAGGAATTAATGCTTGGGCGTTTGAATGATTCTCGAACAATTCTGTTCTTTTTTTTGTTTTTGGTTTTTAGTCTCTTAGCTTTTTGATGTTTTCTTTTTAAATTTGTTGGTTTTGATTGATATATACATTTTTGTTTAATGATAAAACTTATGTAGTAGTATAACTTCTTCTTCTTTGGTGCGTCAGAGCTCGTCCAATCGCTAATTTTCTTCTTACTTAATTAACCGCGAGTAAAAAAGATTCAATTGGTAATAGTTAATGTGTTTGTGACTCAATTATATTGTTGAATTGTGATTATTTCAACCAATAAATTGTTGCTTTGAGACGCATATATGCTTTGTCATGATGGATGAGGAGTTTGGGCTCAAGGATGGCATTCGGCCGTCTGAAGATGCAAGAATTGGGCCAACTAGGAAAAGCAGTAGAACTAAAAGACCACCACAAAAGTTTTCGGGCTTTATATGGGATCCGGGTTAATGAATTGGATATATTGGAGCAAGAATATTAGCTAGGGCACATGAATGGTTAAATAGCCAAATAGTAGCACTAATGTAGTAGGCTGAATTTTGTAAAATCTTCCCCTCTCTGGTCTCTCACTCCCTCGACTATTTTTCTCTATGGCTCTGTCTCCCCCTACTTTCTTTTTGTTCCTATCTTAGTTATGTTATGTCTATCTTGTTATTCTCTAATTCCATGTATTGAGTTTCAATTAATCAAAGATCGATTCTCAGTTCCTATTTGCAATTGTGTTGTTTGATAACTTCATAACATGCTTCTTTACTTCATTTTGCTATGAAAGGATGAGTGCACATAAAAAAGACTCTTTTACCGTGTTGCAAGATTGATGAATCAACTTATAGCTTTACCCACTTATTTTATATGAATAAAACGGAATATATATATATATATATATAATTTTTTTTTAGGGGGGGGGGGGGGGAATGGGGGGAAACAAACGACGGTCAAGGGTTAGATTTTCTACCTTTTAGAGAAAATCAAGAGAGTTCATCAATATACTGAGATTCCAACGATGGATAATTCAAGTCGTGGTTGATTCAGATTTGTTTTCGCAAGGATAAACATATAAGTTTCATAAACTAGTATTTATATGAAAATTCTTCATGAACAATAACATTTTATATTATGTAAACCACCCGTACTCTTGATATAGTAATACTTTTTCCACAAAAATTAAGATTCTTAGTACCGTATTATCACATAAACAATGTCAAATCAAAGATGAATAAAGAAGTCTTATAAATTAATTTACAGACATTTCGGCCGTTGCCAAACTGGAAATTATACCAAACATTTGGGTGAAGGTAAAATTCAAAGAACATATAATATCTTCAATGGTGGACTTGTTTAGTTTATTACCACCATCAAATCCCAAGCCAAAAGGAATTAATTTGGAACACCAGCAGCCAGTCTAGCTCTCAAGTCCTTTCTAAGAATTTTTCCCGACGGAGATTTGGGTACCGTCTCCACGAAAAATACGCGCTTTACTCTCTTATAAAATATCACCTGAATTTTTTAAAAAAGGAAACAATCACTTCTTGTTCTGCACCAGAAATTGAAAATATACTAGTACTAGTATAACAGAAAAATAAAAAGCTGCATTAACTTTTGCCTCGTGATTCTATTTCCAGCATATCACGTGCTAAAAGTAGCATGGACCTCATTTCACATGATTAAGATCTTGTAAATAGGAAACTACTATATATGAATTCAACTATTCTATAGGAGTATTAAATGTTGTGGAAACAGATAGTAGTACGTAGTACTAGGATATATTCAATGGAAGTAGATGCTGGTTTTTGTGTTCCAGGAGTAATGTCTGTGTTCCTAAAATACATCAATTAATTAAATAAACAAATTAAACTAACCTGTTTCGAGACGAAATCCTTGACTTCATCTTCAGTAATAGCAGATCCATTTGACCTAACAACAAAAGCTACCGGAACTTCTCCCGCTTGCTCGTCTTTCATGCTGCGCAACACAGTTAACAAATTATGAGAATTTAGACATTTTCTAGCTGCATCGCACATAGGCCGTTACAGTAAATTCAACCGGCTATTTGTGTAACTTACGGGACAACAGCAGCATCAGAAATGTTGGGATGGTTGAGGAGAAGGGCTTCAATTTCTGCAGGTGCCACTTGAAATCCTTTGTATTTGATCAATTCCTTCAATCGATCCACAATGAAAAGCTCGTCATCCTCGTCAATGAACCCAATGTCGCCAGTGTGTAACCATCCTTCTTTGTCTATTGTTCTCGTTGTGGCCTCGGGATCATTCAGGTAACCTACAATAATATAATATTTGTTTAGTTTTATTATTTTATTTCACGTCAATAAATAAAGTATATACCTAGTCAATTTTAGTTTAGAGAAAAATAAATACCATTAATTTAATACAAAAGGGTTTGGTGACTTGTTGAGCTAGAGAATTGGCAATGGTAGGTAAAGCTTTTAAGACCAAAGGCTAATAAGTTGTTGGTGGATGGGTGAATAGTTCCAACATTGTTGAGTTCAATTATTTTATGGCAAGTCCCCCACAAGTTTCCAATAATAGGTAAAAAGAAGCTCCTAGATTAGAGTTACTACAGTACTGGTCCTCTTTTGTCGATTTAGGAATGCGATCATTTTCACGGTTAACATTGTCATATACCCTTTGGATGCAATCAAATTATTATGCATAGATGCCTGAATATGGCTCTCTACTATATATTGAATGATAAATGATATTAGAAAACGATACCAATCAATTATACCCATTACCTGTCAATATCTTCAACTATATCGATTTGAGTCTGTTATGATTAAAAAAAAATTATATATCTTTCATTCTGTTCTTATTCATTTCCTTAAAATATATAATAATTCATTTTAGAAGATGAATTAGATGTTCTCTAAGTCCAAATTAATAATACGAACATACTATCAATAAGTTAAGATATTTTTGCTTTATTTGAGTGGGTGAGGGAGAAGGTAGGTGGTGATCTGATGTTTACTAATTTTGGTGGCATTGGTATTAATCAAACGCTGTGGCCTAAACAGGCTGTCAGCTCTGTGGCCAAAACAAAAGGCTGAAAACTTGAAAAGTATGCAAAATAATCTCCGCCTATTGCATTTTGGTCTGGGTCTACTAGTTGGTAGATTTGTTCTTAAACTCACTGACGTGCCCAAAAAAATTGGAAAAGAAAAAACGTGTAATTTGGAACTATGTGTGGTCACCTAACATAGGTTACCAATGGAACACTTGGTTGACATCTAGTGCCTATAAGAATAATTATCATGAAAATAACATATGAAAATGAGAATACCAACAATTACTAGACGTGACACACTATTCAAACTTAGTGTTAATAAAGACAATGATAGTTCCACAATGACATTACCAAACTGGATCCAAAAAAATCACTTTTGATAATAAGATGAACATTCTAAAATACTACTAGATATTGTAGAAAATCTCACATTAATTATGCCTTTAATTAGTACAGCAATATGTATTTTAGATTATAATTACAATTACACGTTGTTAAACTTATCTTAAAACAATGTTAGTATACAGAAATTAAACCTTGAAAGTAATAAAAGACGCACCTTTCATGATCTGGTCACCTCTAATGCAAATCTCACCGGGTTGGTTACGAGGAAGAGAGCAACCCGTATCCGGATCTACAATTTTCATCTCGGCGTTCCTCACAACAGTACCACATGCCCCTGATTTTATATCAAACGGTTCTTTTGCAAATGCCAGACACATTGCCAACACCGGCCCAGCTTCCGTCATTCCATAACCCTATTAAATAATTAATTTAATTACTTAGTTAATGAATTTATATTTCAAAATTTATTTTAATAAAAGACAGTCCGGTGCACTAAGCTCCCGCTATGCGCGGGGTCCCAAGAAATTTATTCTAATATAGTAAAAATTACTTAAAAATAATTAAAAAAATCGTATTTTGGTTGGATAGTCACAATCAAGTAGTCGTTTATCTCAATTTATGTGAAACTCTTTCCTTTTCAGTTAGTCCCACAAAAATAATATCTTTTTATAGTTCGTAAGTAATAATTTAACCTTAAATCCTTAATGGGAGTAATTTATAATCACACAGATATTTATGATTCATTTAAGACCATAAATTCTAAAAATTTATTTTATTTCTTAAACTTCTTGCTTAGACAAATATCGTACATATCATTAGGATTGAGGCAGTACTATAAAGCAAATGTGTGGTCAAAAAGTCCAACTATAATGTCCACAAAGGTGTGCAGTATTCGTGTATAGTTGTAACAAGAGGAAATTGCTACATTACAAGATTTTCAGACAGATTATCTGTCTCACCAATTTAGAAATAGACGTTTACCAACTACGTGCAATTTACTCAGTCAAACAAAATCCATTTGTTATTTCAAAAATAGGAAATATATTAAATGCAATTAAAATTTTGATTAGTTTTAGAGGATCTTTTAAAAATATTCTTTTTTGGAAACTAGCGTATATGGTAAAACCAGCAAAAACTATTCAAAGGAAATAACACTCTGATGATTGTATACGAAACGGCTGTCAAATTCTAGATCATCAACTTCCATGTGCGTTAAAATCCGAGCTTTGATTGAGTAGAAATTAAGATAATCAGCACAGCGTTCCGTGCTCGTATTTCATGATAAAAACATAAAAGATAACATAATGAAATACATAGTTAAAAATAAGAAATTTACCTGGCCAAGTTTAGCCTTAGGGAATTTGGTTCGCACAGCGTCTTCGAGTTCTTTTCCTAACGGTGCAGCCCCAGACATGACAGTCCTTACTGATGAAAGATCATAGCTATCAACAATTGGACTCTTAGCAATGGCCAGAACAATAGGCGGCACAAATGGCCCAATTGACACCTTGTACTTCTGTATTAACTCCAGGAACGGAGCAATGTCGAATTTCTGCATAATCAAAATCGCTGCACCGACTCTCAATCCACAAAGCAAAATGGAATTGAGTGAGTAAATATGGAACAAAGGCAACACACACATCAACACATCTTCACTGTGCATATACAAATTTGCATTTTCACCGTCAACTTGTTGTGCAACGCTCGTGACTAATCCCTTGTGTGTCAACATCACACCTTTCGGCAGCCCTGTAGTGCCAGAGGAATACGGCAGCGCAACGACGTCGTCCGATTGGATTTTCACCTCAGGAATTTCATGCTCATCAGATTGTGTCAATTCAGAGAAATGAAGACAACCTTCTGGTGCAGAATCAATACAAATAACCTTCACATCATTTTCGCTAGCGTAATCCTTCACTTTGCCCACAAAGCACGATTGCGTTATAATAATCTTAGCACTTGAGGCTTTGGCTTGTTTTACAACCTCTGCTGGCGTAAACAGAGGATTGGCCATTGTAGAGATGGCTCCTAAATATGAAGCGCCCATAAAAGCAAACACAAATTCAGGGGAATTCGGCAAAAGGATCATAATCGTGTCCTTTTGTTGGATCCCTAACTTGTTAAGACCAGCTGCAACTTTTCTGCAAGTGAGCTCAACTTCAGCATAAGTATAAATTTGATCGTTGGCTCCATTGATCAAACAGGGACGAGAACTGAACTCCGAAATGTTTTCGAAACAATAAGAATGTAAAGGTAAATGCTTAGGGATGTAAATATCAGGGAGTTTTGATCGGAAGATTAAATCTCCTGATTGCTTTGTTTCGTTAGTACTCTCCATCGGCATTTTGGCTATGGTTTAATTAGATTTAGAGAGACAAAAGAGAAAAAATTGGAACACACTAAAAGCTAAAAGGAAATACAAGAATTTTAGCTATGTGTCCTGAAGATAAATGTTCAAAGATAGAGGAATATAAATACGAGCCAAAGATACAGAGTGTGGTTGGTGAAAAGGAGTTGATGGGTATTTAGGGTTGTTAAGGGGCAATTTTTGGAAACTTGATTTTCTATTTATTTTTTGAGATATTAGAAATATGGGAGTTTGTGGTTGGTGAGACTGAGAGTAGTTCAGGGAATGGGGCTTTGAGGTCTTATGGTTAGGTGATGGGTAATTTGGTATTCAACTTCTTTTTTATTTTTTTATTTTTTTATTTTTTGTCAAAATTGTGGTTCAAAGTTGACCTTTTGAAATTCAGCAATTTCCACGTAGGCTTTTCACCTACCGCGACATGCCGGAACGGGGTTGCTGACGGCCAGTGGACGGAACGCTTTCACCTACTGATAATTACTAACCTACAACAACGGGAATTGGTCATTAGCAAAAATATAAAAATAAAAAAAATAGTATATTAGGGGATGGCTTGAAAAATTAATTTCACAAACATATTTTTTGTTGGACACTTGCGAATTTCACCAGTCACAACCGATTATACATATATACTTATTTAATAGATATTATGCTATTAAAAATATTAAAACTGTTGTCTTGTTCATTTTATAATAATAGTATTTCCTGTTAGATCTCAATGATAGTGATCTTGTTACCTAATTAATTGGTGAGTAATAAAATTAGTTGGATTGTTTATTATCCATTTTGGTGACTCTATTATAGACAGATGAATTTCTTGGAATGCTAATAAATTAAGAGGATATTTGGAAAAGAAGTACAGTACATTTTGAGATTGGGTTAAGTAGGGGACATATTTAACTCTTAAAAGAGAATATGACACAAAAATAATATAATATTACTAACCGTTGTTCTGTTCATCAATAGTTGTTTAGTTACCTTGTAGTAAATGGAAAGTAATCAAACTAGCTGGATTATTTAATGTTTATTATCCATTTTGGTGATTCTAATTATGGATAGATGGATAGGATTTCTTGGAATGCTGAGTAAGGATTTCTTGGAATGCTGAGTAAATTGAAATACTAATAATGTAGAGAAAGGTACAATTTGACGTGGGTTTAAGTAGGGAATATATCTATAACTCTTCTTAAATTTTCTCATGGAAGAATTTACTTTAATTCCTTAAGTGCCTTTTGTTTTATTTGGATTTGAGTGTTCGGTTTATTTGGTGTTCACATTTAGAGACGGAAAAAAAATCACTTGCATACTGTAAGAAATTAAACTTTAATTTGAAATCTCACGAGAATTATTAGTTAATGGTACCTCTTTTATTAAAGACAGCGTTAAGTGAACAAATAAAGAACTAAAAAAGTATTAATTCTCAATTACAAGCTGTGGCGATGAAGATGAAATTGAGATAAGTTTATTTGGATGAAAGAAATTAATATCTGTATTGACTTTTTCAATATACTTTTTTTTAATTCTAGATTTGTTAATGATTTGATTATCAATAAGAAATAATAAGAATATATTTATTCTGACAAAAATATTTTGTTATATATGATAGTTGCTATAGAGTAATCTTTCGAATATTAAGTTGACCTTCAAAGTCTTTGATACATGAACCAAATTCTCAAAAATTATGTAGTAACATTTTATAGAATGAGAATTACCACGCCACAGCTGATTGCAGGGCTTTATATAGATCCGAAACGTATCTCCACTTGTCCCAATTTATATGTCATAATTTTTTTTTTTTTTACAGTGCCAAAGAAAATATCATGCTTTCTTATATAAAACCAATTTAGCTTTAATCACTACTAAAAAAACTATTTAAATTCGTCCAAGAAAACCGACCGAAATCGGTCGTAAATTGTAAAAAATCAACCGATTTCCGACCGCTTTTAATTAGTCAGAAAAATGATGGTCGCTAACGTGTTGCGACCGAAATCGGTCGGTATTTTCAAAGCGTTGACTGACTGTCAAACACCATTTACTGACCGAAACTGGTCAGTAATAATAAAAAATAAATTATTCAATTTTCAAATACCGACCGAAATAGGTTGGTATTTTAAATAAATAATAACTTTATTTAAATATATAATTATTTGTAAATTATAATAAATTGTTAATTTATTTAAATAAATAAATTTAAATTCATAATTTTCGGTCGAATTCGATCGGAAATTTCAAAAATCTGGAGATTTAATTTGTAATTTCCGACCGAATTCGATCGGAAATATTGAATTTCAAGGCAAAAAAAAAAGTCCGACCGATTTCGGTCGGTTTTCTGGGTAAAAACTAGGCAGAAAATGCCCGCTTTTAAGTTACACCACCTGCCAATTACAACCAATATCCATCCTATAATGGCAGCATTACATTGTTGTCATTCAACCATAACTAATCAACAACAATTAACTAACTAACAACAATAATAATTAACTAACAACAACAACAACAATTAACTAACAACAACAACAACAACAACAATTAACCAACAACGCTAATAACAACCACAACAACAACCAGTGGCGAACCCACAATTTTATATAAACGGGTTCAAATTAATACGACGATAGCCGCCAATAAAATCAACATCATAACAAGCAATGTTTGCTAGCTACTATGTTTTTCTTCTTTTTATTATCTATCTCAAAAAAAGTCATTTTTTAATTCTGTGCTTTTATTTTTTAAAAAGTAATGCATTTTTTAATAAAAGAATTAAACAACTATTTAAATTTATCTTTAAGATAATTTATCTATTTAATTTGACAAATTTTGCTTTAAAATTTTTAAGATTGATTAACAAATTGAAATTATTTTAAACTCCGCGACACATAACAAAAAATGAATTCTTGTCCTTGATATATGAGGAAAACAAATTTGTTGTTTACAAGAAACAAAATAATCGAACGAAAGAGTTGTGAAATAAACTAGACTAATATAAATAAGTGGATATAACGAGAGCTTATAAGCCAAATAATAATAATAATATAAAATAAAAAAAAAGACAACATGGTACAAATAAACAATTTCAATATAGACCAAATTAGATTAAACTACAAAATAATAAATCATTTCAATAAATATTGTGGTATGTTTTGCTGAAAATCATGTGAGAAAAATAGATCAACTTTGAACTAAGTTTGAAGTAAACATTCAAGCATAAAGCCAAGTACTGTCCAAAACAGCAAGGAATGTGCTGAGCCGAGAGATCGAACACTGGACATTCCAGTAGTGTTGAACTCGCTTGGACCATCACGCCACAACGACTGTACTGTTAAGCGGGTTCAATGTTATTACCATATCTTTTGTTCTGTTTTAGATGTCATTTATATCTATATATGGTATAAATTTTCGACGAAGCGGATTCATATGAACCCTCTTGACACCATGTGGGTCCGCCCCTAACAACAACTCTAATAACAACAACGCCAACCACAACAACAACTATACAAATGCTCAATAACAAAATAATATCAACAATACAATCATCATTCAAAACTAGTCCTAACTAAATATTGACAAGTTCAATACTTTGTTTAGCAATACACACCATTCAATGAGTGTTTTATAATGCATCATCTCCATCTTCACTACTAGAACCTTCATCGCCGGCATGGTTCAAAAAATCACGACGAGAAGGATTAGCACATGGGGAAGGCTCAGGAGACCGGGGAATGGGGAAAGCACCACTAGCAAGAAGATTGGCCAGCTGACCTTGAAGGAGATTAAATTGTTCGTCCCTCTTTTCTAGCTGAACTTGAAGGGTACCCAATTGTTCATCTCTCTTTTGTTCTCTAGCCTTTGTCTCTTCAAGCTCTGCTGTCAGCTTTGCGATCTTCTGTTCCATAGACGAGATAGTCGACCTATCAATTGCCTCGCCTTGGGAGGAAGTCCCTATACCTTGCAATCCAGGCTTGTAGCACCAAAATGATCTCTCTGGAAGGCCGTATGCTATCCCCTTATTAGGACCACCGATAACATCCAACCATATCCTCTGTGCTTCTTCGTCTAAAAGGGGTGGTCGCTCGCCTTGCTCATTCGGTGGCAAGCTCTGAGTGTACTCCTCCACATTAATCTTGTAGCGACCCTTTATTTAGAACATAGAAAATTATTAACTATATGGTATTATAAACATTTATAGTAGTTATGAAACCGGAAAAAGGGTCAAAACTACCCCTATCGTTTGCTAAATGGTTTACAAATACCCTCCGTCTATCTATCCATCCAAAAAAAAACACACGACGTTATTTTTATATCTAAAAGTACCCCTCCTTTTAACGGCGCAGCACGTGGGCCCCACTTCTAATGTGTTGTCATTTTTTTATTGGGCCACGTGGCTCTGCTCAGAATCCAAATATTTGCCCCATTAACCAAACCCGCCCAATTATTTTCCTGATCCATTACTTTCTCTTTTTCTTAATCTCTCCCCACCTTCTCACCATTCTCACTCCAACACTCCCCACCCCCACCCCCACCCCCAACAAAAAAAACCAGACGCAACAAATTCAAAGGTCCATACTTTTCCAATAAATCAAACAATCTAAAACCAACCCATCATCTTCCTCAAAACCCCCACCTCAAACTCCTCCTCTTCCGATCACAAATCCAAAAACCCAAAATCAAAGCAAAAATGATGCACATGACCTTTTACTGGGGTAACAAAGTGACTCTTTTGTTTGATTTTTGGAGAACTGATTCTTGGTCAAGCTATGCCCTCGCTTTACTCGCTTGTTTCATCGTCTCCGTTATTTATCAGTATATGGAAGATCGCCATCAACGATTCAAGATTCTCTCTTCAAAATCCAAGAAAAACTATCCTCCGCCGTCGTCCAACGCCGCCGTGAATACCCCTCTTCTTTACTCTTTTCCGACTGTCGGCAGTGTGTGGAATTCGGCGAGATTTGCGACGGCGATTCTATTTGGGATTAATTCGGCGATTGGGTATATGCTTATGTTGGCTATTATGTCGTTTAACGGCGGCGTTTTTGTTTCCATCGTTTTGGGTCTGTCGATTGGATATTTGCTTTTTAGGACCGGTGAAGAGGATGTTATGGTAGTTGATAATCAATGTGCATGTGCTTGAAATTTTCTGAATATTAATGTTACTTGTAATGAGTTTGGTTCTTGTTTTACCCATAGAATTTATATGGAAAAATGATAATGAAGATGTTTTTTTTTTGGAAGATGGCGCGGGTCAAATAGATGGCGGGTCAAACAAATGGGATGGGTATACTATACCCATATGTATGAAGTGAAATTAGGAGCCACGTGGCCCAATAAAATATTGCTAATGCATTAAAAGTGGGGCCCACATCTGCTGCCGTTAAAAGGAGGGGTAGTTTTAGGTATATAAATAACGTTGTGTGCTTTTTCGGACGAATAGATGGACGGAGGGTATTTGTAAACCATTTAGTAAACAATAGGGATAGTTTAGGCCCTTTTCCGTTATGAAACTTACATATGTAGCCTCCGCATGGTCCTCGACCCATCTACTTGGATCTGTCAGTGCCTTCTTCTTCCGGATGTGAGTCTCAATGAAGAACTCATCATGAGTCATCTTCCTCCCATATTTTTTCCCTACAAATATAATAAACTACATTAACTAAATTAACATATATAAATATAGTTCGATAAAAATACATGTAAATATTTTAAGGAATTACCAGTAGTCTCCTCGTAGTTCCCATGCTCCTTGCAACCACGCAGTGCAAGGAGCCACCCTTCTCAGATGCCTTGTTCACCCTTCTTCTCGAATTTCTCGATGGTCCAATACCTCAGCAGATCCTCCCATAAATGCGGTAGAACCCATGAAGTCTTCTTGCTTTTCTTTCGAGCGGAGATGAAGGAATTAGATATTCTCATACGATATTTTAACGCCAAATTTGCACAAATTTTACAGTTATACCGGTCCTCCCAGGCACACTTAGTCTGCAAATAAAGTATGTAACGTTAGATGAAAATATTGTTATGCTTAAATAGATAAGAATTGTATTAAAACCTTAAATTGGTTGAAAATTTGCTGCACGAGCCCCGGTGGAAAGTCACTCCAAGTCGGATAGGGTGTATTATATAACCGGCCAAGAATTTCAGTGATTATCTTTGTAACCCGATTATTAGGTATGAACCTGCAACATAGCAATTACATTAAATTAACAAGAGTGGCTATTATAATTCAGCAAAAATAAAGAAGTAATAAATAAATCTTACCCATTGCCCTCAGGCCTGATTATCATCTTATGATAACGATCATACCGCGCTTCATCTAGATTATCATCCTCCGATGAATCTGAAGCGTGCGCAGAAGGGGAGGCATCTGGCTCAGCGCTACTATCTCGAAGACGAGGTCTAGAAATGCTAGGAGACGAACTCCGTGTGGAAGGAGACGGGTTCCCTGATGAAGATGGCTGCGATCCACCCCCCTGCATCGATCTAGACCCCTGCTGCGATCCAGACCACTATTGCGATTCGGCCGCCTGAAATCTAGATGGATGCGATCCAACTAGTGATGAAGCAAATAGAGCAGATGATGGGTGTACCTCATGGCTCTGTGACTGCTGACTCGATGGACCCATGTAACTACATGTAGGATCATATGGAGGAAGCGGGGTATAGCCCTGTGGCGGAGAATGGTAATAATACAGTTGGGAGGTCGTATGGTGGATAGTCTGATGAGTAGATGGATGTGGTGGAATAGATGTGTGCCTAGAAGATTGTTGCCGGCCATCAGCAGCAGAGGGATACAAGTGTGGAGTGGAAGGAAGCGAGGGTGTTGCACCATCATCATGATCAATAGGCCTTTTATCCTTCCTAGACCTACCTCGACCCCTACCGGTCATCTGCATAAATTAAAGAAAATGTTAGAATTGAGAATATAAATCTATATAAGTTGAGAGCGCTTGAAAAAACTAACATGCTAGTCGTCTTCGTCGACGTATCCTTCCTCCTCTGAAAATCCTTCCTCTTCACTTATTTCATTTTCATTAGGTGATTCTTCATCCTCATTTTCTATGATTGTTATTTCCTCCATATTAGTTTCTTCTAATATGCATTGAGGATGCTCCAAGTCATTTTCTAACTGATCACATACCATTTGGTTAACACTTGAGGTATCGTTTTGGTAAGCAACATTGTCACACCTCCTTTTTCCTACACCCCGCAAGGGTATAGAGGGAGTTTTTCCAATTAAAGGACAATCGAAACGAGATTCATTTTATTAAAAGATTCAGAGTCGCCACTTGGGAGATTTATGGTGTCCCAAGTCACCGGTTGAATCCCGAATCGAGGAAAAGATTGACTCTGTTTAACAGTCTGCGAACCAGAAATTCGAGTAAGGAATTCTGTTAACCCGGGAGAAGGTGTTAGGCATTCCCGGGTTTCGTGGTTCTAGCACGGTCGCTCAACTGTCATATTTGGCTTATTTATTCGATTTTAGAACATGTTTTAACCTATGTGCTTTTTAACTTTAAACCGCTTTTATTATTACTTTTAAAGAGAATTGCAACGTCGTTAAAACACGTCTCGAACCACGTCACATAAATGCACCCGTGGTTTTTGACACATTTCAACTTCGTTGGGATTTGGATTTGGGTCACATAAATGTGCACCCGAGTTTAGGAAGGTAATATTATTAAATGCCGGGCCTAAAGCAACTAGCGTATTATTAACTTTGTGGGAGGCCATGAAATTCGCTAAATGGCACGTCCCGAATTCTAAGGTTGAGTTAAAACCAATTAAAGTGAGGCCACGCAATTTGTGATTTTATTTGGGCGCAGCGCACCTCATTTATTTTAAAGGCCATCTTAAAAGAGAAACTATTATTTTCTATTAGGATTATCTCTAAGAACTTAGTTAATTAGCATTACTAAATGAATATTATCGGAAACAACCCAGGAGCAGTCTTTAGCAAAGTGGCTTCAAAGCTAGCCCATGGAAAGGGAATTGGGTCAGCCCTGTTAACGTGAGTTATTTAGCATTTGGGCTTGTGATTAGCCCTCAGCGTTTTTGGGCTTGTGACTGGCCCCAACAATTATTTGGATAGCTATACCTTGGACCATAAATCTCAAGGCCATCTCAATGTCCAATTCCAACGGGGTTCCATTTCATGAACTGAACCCCGAACAATCACAAAGAAGCACAGATCATACCATACGAATTTGAATCAGTAAGCTAAATAACGAGGGATATTAGATGATCAATAAGATGTTTGTGCATTGAGCAACTGATTCTGCAACAAGTTAAACTCAGGGACCTATTGATATCTAAAATAAAGCTAGATTATGCATAAGATGTGATTACTGATTTTCGAATGAAACCATTGGACTGCTAAAGTAGAATGAATTGCGATTTCCAGTTCATTTACAATGCTTCAAATGCCAACTTCTAACCAAGTGTAACGCAATTGTCCAAATCCCAAACAGATGATAGACTATTACGACCCTAGAAACAATAACGTCCAATTTTCAATTACAAGGTGAAGATCTATGACCCTAGAAACATTTTCAAATTCATGCTATCTCTAATACTAAAATTAAACTAACGCAAAATGAAACTATATTTAAAGCTACTGAATAATCTGAGGTCCAACAGTCCTAATTACACAAATAGTCTTAATTAATTCCAGAAAGTACTCGTTCAAAATGAATTGTGCAACTAAGTATCAAAACTAGTGATGACTACAAGGAAAATCCAAGTGAAACAACAAGTATTTCTCTTCATCATTTGATTCTACAAATAGTTCATATATTGATGTTCTAAACGTCAATACCACACAAGAGGGGAGGGGGTGATTTGTGTGGTACTCAATTTTTCACTTAAACTGCTTCTGGAAGGACCTGGTTCTTCTAGGTGTACTTATTACTACTGTTTGCGGAATTAAAAGTACATAAAATAAAGAACACAGAGATTTTACGTGAAAAACACCTGGCTCAAAAGGTGAAAAAACCACGACCTACTACTCAGTAGGATTTTCCCAAACTTCCACTAAAATCACTGAGCCAAAACTGCATTTACAAAACTCTTTGTAAACCTAAGGATTAACTCTAATCCCGTTGTGGCAACCAGCCTCTAACTGCTGCGACAACTTCAAGTTAACTCTAACTTAAATACTCAAAGTACCTAATACAATTGCTTCTATGAAAGCTCGAAAGGTACAACTTTTAAAAACACCTACTACAAATTGAACTAGAATAAAAGAAATACACATAAAACTATTTATGGAGCTGGTTCTTCAATCTGGTTCTTGTAGCTTCTAGTTTGCACACTTGAATCACACACGAACTGCTTGCAAAAAGCCTTGCTATTTTGCTCTCAATTCACGTTTAACTTCTGCGTTTTTGTGAACCTGAGGGATGGACCACTGGATGGACCTGGTTCATGTCTGAGTTCCTTTGTCAGTCTTCAAAACTAACCTTTACTTTGGCCAACATATATGTTGATTCATACTTCCATATCACTTGAGTCATAGAAATGTACCTGGAATCGAATCAGAATAAAGGAGGAAGGAATTAGTAATGGCAGTCAACAAACAACAGTTGCAACCAGCAGCCACAGAATTAGTTTCAAACCCAAAACAACATCACTGATACCCAGGGATGAACTATAGAAGAACAACACCAAAAAATGACCAAAAATAACTTGATTGAACCCAAACCCACTCGAAATCAAACCCAATAAACCGCTGAAGTTTTAGCAATCAGTACACAAGGAACATTTAAGCCATTTTCCTCTTTGAACTAAGCTACAATTCAGAACAGTAGCTAAAACTTGCAATTGATCTAAGAAAACTCAACGTAACAGTACTTTTTTTGGAATTTTCTGTTGTTTTTGTTGGTTTTTTTAGTTTTCTGAAGAAACTAATATCTAAAGGAACTTTAGAATTTTAGATCTGGTTTTGAATTTGAAATTCGAATTTTTCAGCTTCTAAAACTTGTGGAACACTTTTTAGGGGGAATTTTTCAGATTGTGAAACCTGCAGAAAAGCTTTTTTTGGGGAAATTTTTCAGATCCTCCCCTTTTGAACACTTTTGGGGGGAGTTTTTAGAGGCCGAAAACTTGCCAATGAAGGCACCAAGCGTGCCTTTTTAT